GTTGGGGTTCGAACCCGCGTCGACTGATTCAAAAACAACAGCGTAACCGGTTGCGCCACATGTGCAACAGTCCAAACCCAGTAAGAGGGCGTTGACAATGACCCCTCTCCCACCATTATTTCTCACCATTTTCACACCGAAAGCAATTCTTCTTCCAAAAAAAAAAACGCGAGAAAACCAGGGAGGGGAAGATTCTTCTCATTTGCATACAAATCTATTTTCACACTCCTTTCCCATCCGCACTCTTTATCTCGGGTTGGGAAAGAAGAGAAGAAGCAGAAGCAGCAAACGGATTAGGATTTAGTAAGTGAAATAAAAGAAGCAAAAGGGGAAAAGTCATTTAAAGAGGAACTCGTTCTTCTCAATGAGAAACTATACGAGACGTCACCTTTCACATCGAGCTCTCCAGTGGATAGAATGATGGGCTCCGTGTTGATTTGGCATGAGTAGTTGCCTTTGTCGGATTCCTGAAATCATTGGAATGAGGGGATTCCCTCTAATAGAGTGGCACCATACAAACCTGAACATTCTTGATGGTGAGCACCCATTCATTATGAAGGTCTCCAATGCGTGGCTTCAATTCGTACTTGTCCCTCCTTCGGAACACTTTTTCATCGAACGACAGCAATCGGGGTGGTGTGTCCGCTTTGACAAATGCTACCTATATAATGGATCGGTTGACATGTTTTTCGAAAATGAGGGCTCTCTTTTTTTGGAGCCACGGATAAACTGACCATGTGACTTCCAAGATCGTTCACAATACACGTAAAGTCGACATCTTGACCCAAAAGTGCCACTGCACTTGACATCGATGGCTGCTGGATGGTGGGAGGGGCACCACGAGAACATGCTGGAATGATTAGATAAAGTTTGCTCTATTGGACTGAGAAAATTTAAATTTTATTGTTTCTACCAATAAAAACTAGATAACTGCAGGCCAGATTATTTTTGTTTTGGTCATAAAAATGTTTATCCAACCGGTTTTGTTACCTAATCGGACTATTAAACTGAATATTACTAAACCTCTAATAGAGTGGCATGTACATCAAAACAACACTACATTTTCTCATAGGTATCATTTCCTTCGTTTTCAATATTTTTGTTTTCTCTTCCAGAACAAAAAGCAAGTGAATCATTCATCATCGTTTAGCGGTCTCCGATTTTCTTGGGATGTCATCTATCCGGGAAAAAAAACAAAAAGGGCATTTCGAATCGGAAACGGACTTTGACAAAAATTCTAATCGACAGATTCTGTTGGATTTGATTTTTTTGCGTTACGAACTATACAATTTTGCTATTTTGGGGTCGTACTTTGCATAAATGATGATGTTTTTTGCAATAAACAACTTTGTGTCTGTTGGAATTTTCTAAATTTTTTTTCGTGTGATTTCGCGTGAACGTGTAAATTAGATGCAGACACGGCATTTAAGCTTACGACACTTTTCGCATTTTGCCGATTTGATCAATTTTTTAGAAGGATTTTTGCGCCGAAAGTTGGTAAAATCGTCAAAAAAACCGATTTGGGAAGAAAAAAAAACAAAATCGAAGCCCGGAGCCTACAAAAAATCGATGCTTGTCGGAAAATTGTGTTTTCGATGGAAAACTTTTATCGGCGGTTTTATCAGGCATTTCGGAGATTTTTTTATCGAAAAAATTCCCCATTTGAATAGATTTTTGAAAGCCAACAAGTTTCTTTATGCGAAGTTTGAAAATAAAATTATGATTTTTTGGGCCTAGGTTTCTCAAGAATTCAGTTTTCTATAAAGCGCGTAAATGAAAACTAACCGTCAAAAAGGTGACACAAAATAGTGGGCAACACTAAAATAGAAGAAGACGTCGGAGAAGAAGAAGTCTCCATCGTCGTCTCCAAGAAATTCAAAAAGAATGAAACACTTTTTGAAGGCGCGAAGATGTTGTCGAGAAGGATTCTCTCGACTCGTTACGAACTTATTGTTAACTAATAATATCTCCAGTATATTCCTCCCCAACAAAATTTGATTTGTCATCTTTTCCCTTGTGTGCCACCCCCATCTCTTTCCAACTCACCCTGCTTAAAAACTAACAATACTCCACAAAGAAGTGCGAATAGATACATTTATGGGAGGGAAGAAGTCGAAAAGAGGGGGGATATATGAAATGACTCGACACAAGAAGGGGCAGGTGCTCCCGATAGAGAAGCCAAAGTGGGCGGAGTCACGGGCGGTCCTTTCCGAAAAAAAAAGGGAAGACACAGATGGAGTCATTCTGGAGAAGAAGAAGAAGATGGAGGAGGAGGAGAAAAGAGGTGAAAAGAAGAAAGAAGACACTCATTTTATTCCCTGTTTTCCGGTTCGACACACTATGAAAAGGAAGATTGGGGCGAAAAAAAAATAAAATGAGAAGGACGACAAAAAGGTTTTTTTGCTTTATTCCTGTGAGCAGCTTCCTGTTTTTTTTGTGAACATATATAGTTTTGGTTTTGCTAGGATTGCATTTTTATGGAGAATAAAAAATAATAATCGCATGAAAAGAACTGGTTCTAAATCTGTCAGCTTTTGTTTTTTGTTGTTGTAAACAGAGGGATGGGGCTATATTCATTGGCAAGTTACCTAAGGTACGAAATACGCAAGTTTCCGTCAGATTTGGTGTATACAGTCAGTTTACCATAACTCAAAAAAAACAAAAATTGTTGCCATTCTTTGGGGTCGAACACAGGTTTTTCGCGTCCGATCCGTTACGGATGCACCGGAGCCGCGCACGGCCCGGATTGGTATCAAAAACGAGCCTCGTTACGGATCCGTAACCCACCCGTTTGCGAAAATGATGTCAAAAATTTTGATCAGTTGCTACCATTTCCTTTTTTTTCTGTTTTTTGGTAATCTGGTGCTTGAAAAATATAAAATTGATAAAGTAACAAACTTCTAGGAACGAAAAGAATTGGTAGAAGCACAGAGCCGTATACGGTCAGTTTGCGACTGAAAATTACGGTCCGTTTGCGAACGCTCGTTCGCAAACAGAGTTGTTTTGGATGCGTAAAGACTAGAAAAACAAACATAACGTCGTAACGGATCTACCCACGAATGACCTGTGAACTTACCTAACATGTCAGATTGGTGGCCGCGTGAGTTACCCACTGCGCCACCCGATCAAGAAGAAGCGTCTCTTGCTTTGGTCGTGATAAGCGCGGTCTCGCAAGGAAATATTGCGGTCAAGCAATGGGAATGGCTGATTTTTTGGGTTTCTGTGAGTTTTATGAAAATTCAACAACAAAAAAAAACAAAATTCTTTCCGAATTCCAACGTTTTCTCTTCGAAAACTCCACAATTTTCATCAAATTTTATTAGGATTTATCATTTACTTCGTAACTCCTTCACAGTTCCTCATTTCTTCTTCTTATCCGCCCCAAAAACATCACCAGCCACTGCAGCCAATGTCTGATAGTTCGGATCCATTGTTGCCGCTTTTTGGTTCTGCAATCCTCTATTTCACAATATTTTAGGCTCTAGGCAACTCGAAACCTTATTAACCGGCTGAATCGGTTTCCTATTCTCTCCACCTCCAACCTTCTTATCCGCTCCGAAAACATCTCCTCCAACAGCTGCCAACGTCTGATAATTTGGGTCTAGAGTTGCCGCTTTTTGGTTCTGAAACCATCAGATTTAACTGAGAAAAACTGTCTTATTCTACTTTATTAGCTGGTTGAACTGGTCTTCCTCCTCCCCCTCCAACCTTCTTATCCGCTCCAAAAACGTCTCCACCAACTGCAGCTAGAGTCTGATAATTGGGATCCTGAGTTCCTGCTCTCGCATTTCTATCTGCTGGAGCCATGGGTCTTCCAGCAGTCGGAGCAAGTCCAGGAGCCGGACCACCATCTTTCTTATCAAACACATTATTATTGAGACCGGCTAATGTCTGATAATTAGGATCATGAGTAGCTGCCTTTGCATTTTGATCTGGTGGAGCTGCTGGTCCTGCTCCTCCCACTTGAGGATTCTTTGCAAAAACATCATTATTCAATCCAGCCAATGTTTGATAATTTGGATCATGAGTTGCAGCCATTTGAGGTTTCGCCGGAGGGGCTATTGGAGCAGGATCAGCTGGGCCATTCTTCGTTCCGAAAACATTGTTGTCTAATCCAGCAAGTGTTTGGTAATTGGGATCGTGGGTGGCTGGAATTCATATTTTGAGAGTTTTCAAATTTGGAAAAATGCTTAAAAAAAGATTTGACGCCTCACGGCATCGAACTTGGGTCATGAGATTCAAAAAGAAGCGCGTTCACCACTAAGCCATGGCGCCATTCTCAACGACTGGCATGGAGGGCTTACAGATTACTCTCTCTCTTTTGATGCCCCACCCCACATACCAGCCATGGCAGGTTTCGCCGGTGCAACTGGTACCGGTGCAGGAGCCACTGGAGTCGGAGCAGCCGGACTCTTCCCATCCGTCGAATCATCTGTATTCGTCGTTTTTGTGTCTCTCGTACTGTGCTCGGATCTATCCAGCTTTTGAGCAGGTGCTTTCTTTTTCTGTGATGAAAATCAATAAAAGTTTGAATTCTTTCTAAAAAATATACCTTGGAGCACAAAGCAAGAATTGGAAGAGTGACGATGAAGAAAACGTTGAAAAACGTTGATAATATCAGCAACATTCTCTTTCTGTGAAAGAATTTGAAGGTGTTGAAAAGGAAGTGGGAGGCTTACCGAATAAAAATATCTCCAAAAAAATGGAGAAAGGGAGAAATGGAAACAAAATTATTGTAAGAAATGGGGAAAACGGCTAAATACAAAAACTATTTAGGAGCTCACGAGATTAATATTATTCGTTTTATCATTCTAAAAAACATACATAAAGAAAAATTCAAAAATCAATAATTTTGCTAAAAGGACATGAAACGAGTTACTGTTAATTAGGTAGTTCAGAAATGGATCTTCTTTCTTTTTGAATGGTAAATAGATGGTCTGGTTCCCTGTTCATCTCATAAAATAAATGAGCAATCCGATTTGGGCTCCCAAAAGAACCGCACCGACACCAAACTCGCGTGATCTGAATATTCAAAAAAAATAGAATGAGTTCTGAAATAATCAAA